ACCCCCCAGATCAGACAGACCATAGGGGAAAACTGGGTGAGTCCCCCCCCAGTGACCACACGCACAGCCCCCAGGGCCAGCAGCGACAAACTCATGGGCCCCACCGGCACCCGCCATACCAGAGCAGATCCAGGAAAGGGCACAGAGGTCCGGGCCCCCAGGGCGCAACCCCTCCAGGCCAAAGCCCGACAGGTCCAGAGGCCCTGAGCCCCAGCAGGCAGTCACCAGGCCAGGCTGGCACACACCCCAGTGCCCAGCCCCAGACCTCGGGAACCCCCAGCACGCCGGCGGCCAGCCGCACACCCCACCGGGGGGCCGAGTAGCAGCGGGCCCCCAGGTAAACCAGCAGTAGGGGCAGTCCAGACCGCAGCCTGACAAATACCCAAACATACACAATCGCACCGTCCCACCCTCATCCTCACCCCCCACTCAATCAAAGACATACAAGGATGCCACATTCCATTCATACCCCCGAAAAATATTAAAATACTTAACTTTATATATAATATATATGGAGCCCGTGAGGGGACATGGGAGATTTTTTTTTCTTTTGCGTTCCCACGCAATACCTTTTGCGTTCCCTTGCAAAAGTAGTTTATCACTGTTGTGCCTGCCAGTTTATTAACAAACTCACATGTTCACCATTAGCGAGTAGCCTACTGATTTAATTCAGCTTCAGAATGAATATATCACACAACTACACATGGAAGTATGTCATATGTTGATATTTTAACTCAGTGCAGCCACGCAACATCAATGTCAATTTCATGAACTTGTGGCGACACATCCTGTTTTGGTAACCGGATATTTCAAAAAAAAATCTGATTTAATTCAGGTCATATACGAAACAATCTTTTGCGTGGGAACGCAAAACAATATTGCGTGGGAACGCAAAAGTACTGCGAGGGAACGCAAAGGTATTACGTGGGAACGCAAAAGGAAAAAAATCCCCCCGTGTCTCCACGCGGGCTCCGTAAATACAAGTATGTAAGTAAATCTAAATAGTAAAGGAAGTTTATTTCGGACATTTAAAGTTTTACAAATCCAAAAGTATAATTATTTTACATTTCTCCTTTGTGAGGCTTTGTGGTTCTTGAAATATCAAGGGGGTTCTTCAGACAATTTAATCATGTAGCTATTTAAAAATACATGGTAATATGATAATATCAGCATCAAAAGAAAATAAAATATCTTGATGAAATTTGACAAAATTGATTAATAATGTATCTCTGTAATCACCTTTATGCAAAAGTTTTAAATAAAACTCCTTATCTCAATACATGTAAAACTGTTCCCGCTGTTGTAATTTCCATGCCTTTAAAAAAAAACATTAAAATAAAACAAAGAAAGGGTTCAACTTCTTGGTAAATCTGGTCCAAATCTGTACATTTGCAAACTGGGTTTTGTAATGATGGGTGTCTGCCAACATTACACTCAAAAGGCCAATGTTAACATTATGTTGCTGACAACGAGTGACCCTTTTCTGTATTTACAAAGTATTGGCATTTAAACTAAGAGGATTAATGGATTCTCAGATGGAAAGCTCATCTGGTCAGTAAACACTCCACAGGGAACTCTGGTCCAGGAAGACCAAATGTCTGAAGGCAGCTGGAAAAAATTGTGACACTAATAAGAAAAAAAAAGCAATTTCTCTTGAACAAATTTAGTCAATGAATGTCATTCTGAGGTGTTCGTTTGTTCGGGTTTTCTAATTGTGATTTTTAAAGATGGCAAAAAAGAATAACCTTTAGAACAGGGGTGAGCAGTCCTGGTCCTCGAGGGCCGCAGTCCTGCTTGTTTTACATATTTCCCTGCTCCAACTCACCTGATTCAGTCACTGAATTACCTCTTCCAAGTTCTGCTGTACGGAGGTCCAAAACTGACAATTAGTATTAAAAGCAGAAACATTTAAATGAACCACTAAATAAATAAATACATTGAAAATGCACCAAATAAATTAAAAAAGTACTTTACCTCAAGTTTCATAACTTAATTTACTTTCATATTTCTTTTTCCAGCTTAGTTCCAATAAATTGTACATTTTAACACATAATTTAAATTTTACAGTTTTTTAAAATATATATTTTTATATAGTTTTTCCTTTTTATGTACATGCATTTGTGTCTCTTAAATGCTTAAATGTAATTATTTTTATATATATTTTTTTTATTAAAGGCAGAGGTAATCCTCTTTGCCTTTGTTTTAAACTAAACTTTAAGCTAAATTTAGGCACCACAAGCATGCAACACATTGAAATAAAAAGACTTATTGGAAAAAATGTAAACGTAATTAAGTATAAACATTTAAGACACCCAAATGCATGTACAAGTAAAGGAAAAACAATTAATATATGTGTAAAACACAGTAAAATTTAAATTATATGTTAAAATATATAGACTAATTTTTTGAAACTAATCTGGAAAAATAAACATGAAAGTCAATTAAAATATAAAACAGGAGATAAAGTTCTCTAATTGGTGCTTTAAGTGTATTTATTTTATAGTTCCTTTATATAATTCTGCTTTTATTTCTAATTGTCAGTTTTGGTCCTCCGTACTGCAGAAGCCTGATAATCATATATTCATTCAAATCAGGTGTGTTGGAGCAGAGAAACAAGTAACACATGCAGAGCTGCGGCCCTCCAGGACCAGGATTGCCCACCCCTGCTTTAGAATGTTTTCACTTTGCACTGCTTCAACATTTATCTGATAAGAATGACTTCTTTTTGAGATTAAGCTTCTTAAACCAAGCACAGATTCAAATGTGTGTGTGTGCGCGCACATTTCATATTTGCTATCAATGACTTATTACTAAAAAACAATCAACTTTTCGTCTCAGACCACTACAAACTTCCCCCCAGCCATGGCCAGCTCCCAAAGAAAACAGAAAAAAAAAGCTTCTTTCTGATTCAGCCCTGTTGTTGTTGTTGTTCTCCCTCCCTGGTTACCAAAAGCTTCTCTTCCTTCTTGTAAAAAAAAAAAAAAAAAGACTTTTCTTGGTGAAATATAGTCTCACATCTATGAGCCGTGTTCGGACATCCCAAGATGTTTACTATAAAAGTTTAACTTTAGAGTGGGATTAGGAGAGTGGGACCGCCAGTGGTGTGTGTGTGTGTGTGTGTGTTGGGAGATGGCTGACGTAGGGGTGCAGGAGTGTGTTTACAGTTTGTTGATCTGAATTTCACCGGGGCAGCTTCTTCCCAAGGGAACAATGCTAATTCTCATTAGGTCAGAGGATACAGCATGTAAACCCACAGATGCAAGCACTTATAACTTACAAGACACAGATATGTGTGCGAGTAAATAGACGGTTCATCACGATGTCTGAGTGTCAATAAAATGAACAGAGGGAAGTAGAGGAGGAAATATTTGTTTATACCCTAATGTAGGACTTTGTGGCTGTGTGGATGATCTAAAAACAGATACAAGTGGACACACATTAACAAATGAAAAGTAAAAAATAAACAAAAAAATGAGAAATTGCCTTTTCTGAAAAAATGCAGTGTGAATACTTCATGCTGAATTACTTTTGTTGAAAACTGCTGAAAAAAAATGAAAAGGTTTTTGTAAAGCTAATAATGTGAGTTTGAACAGCTGGTATTGCTGAAAGTAGGACAATAAACGTTAAAAAAATTGCTAGAAAAATTGCAAAAAAGGGTAAAACAAAAGGTCAAATTAGCAGACAGGTGGTGAAGTGATTGAAATTTTTAGCAAGAAACAAGAAACAAGGTACAAAGAACTTGTAATTAATTTGAAACAACTAAAAAAGCTGAAACTAGTCTAAAATTAGCCTCAACATGTAGCTAAAATTAGCACAAAAAGCAGAAAGTGCTTTTCCTGAATAAAGTAGTAAGAAACTGCAATTATCACAAAAAGTTAAACGTAGTTGAAAAAGGCTCAAATGAGCTGAAGTTAGCTAAAAGGTTGTTAAAAACACAAAAAACAGCTTAAATTAGCAGAAAACAGCCGAGAAGAACAAAAAGCTTAAGACAGCAAAAAGAAGCTGAAAAAAAAAACTGAAAAAAAGATTAAATCAGCAGAAAAAATGCAGAAAAGGCCAAAATGACAGGTAAAAAAAAACCCAGAAAAAAAAACTAAAATTAACAATCTGAAAAGATGTTAAGAAAAGCAGAACCAGAACAAATTTAAAAAAGTTTAGTAAAGATTTATGAACATTTTGAAGAGTTTTAAGGACGTTGAAGACAGCTTTACTCATTTTAATGAGAAATAAAAAAT